ACAAAGCACAGAACCTTTCCTGTTGTTTTTTTTTGGGGGGGACCTTTCCTATTAATATGGTGATTTTAGACAAATGTCGAGGACATTGTTAAAAGCTAATTGCTATGACAAGATATTGAAGAAGTGTTGTGTAGGTATCTTCCCCTTTTCAATCGCTGCCTCTAAAGTTCAACAAGAGGTTCACTCTCTAGGTTAATCAAGTGACTTTTTCATGTTTTTTATGCACTGGTTCTGTATAGAGAATCACTCCTTTTATATAGAAAATCACTCAATGTCTTTGAAACATCCCTTAATCATTACTTATTCATTCATTTACCCATACAATATTTGCTCTTTTGCTCTTTTTTTTTTCCTGAAACCCTCGCTAGCGATACATGTTATATCGCCTAATATTTGCTCTTGTAACTCCTTTTCTTTTGCCCATTTTTTAACTCTTTGGGCTCATTCATTTATTTTACTGTAGAAGGTCCAGGGTTTAATGTAGTGATATTCGAGTTTTGCACAAAATTTCAGGCTGATAATAGTCTACTTGCAATGCACGTGTGCAACAACTAATCCACTTAAAAACATCTCGAATGAATTATAATACAATTCACTATGTTACTAGGGTTTGGCGAACACACTTATAAATTTGAAATCCCAACTAAGCCTTAAGAGACAAAAAGGGAAATTAATCCTTTTTTTTTGGACCGTAAGGAGAAATTAATATATTATTATTATTATTATTTAAAAAATAACCTTGCATCTTCTAGAATTTTACTAAGGGAAATGCTATTTGAACTCTAAAAATTGACATCATGTGTTGATTTCATCTATCTCAATTATTAAATAAGTAGTGGATCCTGATAAATAGTGAAACCCACAATTAAATCAATAACAATGATTAATGAAGTCAGCAAATGGTGTCAACTTTTGGAGTCCAAATAACATTGCTATTTTACTAAGACTACGTGTACTAAATTTCTCTTCTCTACTATTCTCTCTCTCTCTCTAAATCCCACTCTCCCCTCCACCCCCTACTTTCACCAACACCCACACAATACACTTTTATTATTAAAATCTCTATGACTCATGACAAAAACTCTATTTAACTTAACCAATGAACTTTAATGCAAGCACCAAAACGTGCAACAAATTAAAGATGTGTGAATTTGTTTACTCAAGGCTGTGTTCAGGTGCTATCAAGAGTGTTCAATCCTCTATGGGTAGGTTTAATCAACAGTTACACTTGCACAAATATGTGTGAATGTATTTAAATCGACATTAGTACCCAAGTGCAATCAATAGTGTTCTATAATCTATATGTTGTGCTAATGTGTTTAATGGGTAGTCCTACCCCCACAACCCTTATTGGCATTGCGCTAACACATATACCTCTCTGTGTGTGTGTGTGTGTGTGCATTTCAATCCCTCATTTTTATAATGGTGGTGTATTTGACAGTGTGGGAAGGTGGTGGTTTTGTGTTCATAAATGGGGAGGATGAAAACCCTGTAATTTGTGTGTTCACATATGAATTAGTGGTCGTAGAGGCTCAATAATGGTTGCATGATTTTGTAAATTGGATTTGTGAAAGTGAGGTAATTTTTCATGCCTACTTTGACAAAAATGGGTGATTATAGGTTGAAAATGTCGGTTTTGGATTAGATGGTTTGATCGCCTAATGTTTTTCATGACTTCAACTATTGTTACTTCCTTAATCTGACCCCTGAGATTTTGAATTCTTAACAGAGCCTCCACTTTTGCTTGGTGAGGAACGAGCTTGACTATATAGGGTAACTCTAGTTCCAATATTGGAGGAAGCACATGGCATGAAAAACATGGGTTGTAGGACAATCAATCCCTAAGAAAGCTATCTCACTGAGGTCCGATTAGTCGCACAACTTGACTTTGATTTCCACCATAATCATGTTGATATTTTATATGATGAAAAAGGAGAGAAGGCGTACAATGAAGGAACATAGACATGGTTAAGGAGATAAAGGCACGGGCATGCCTCCATCCCCTCTCATTCTCATCTCACTTTCCTTCTAAGTGTGCGAGAGAAGAAAAAGAAAAGGAGACAAGAAAAGGAAGAAGAAGAAGAAGAAAAAAAAATAGAAGTTTTATAAGTATTAGAAAAAAATTGTATAAAACTAACATGTTTTGGTGTGTTAGCAACAAATACTTTCGATTGAGGTACTCCGTGAAACTAGACATACCAATGGGCTGAATTTGTACTTGGATTTGATCAGTTTAATATGGATATTTCTTTGTTTGACAATCTGACTCCAAATTCGAATCAAGTATATCATGTGGTACGGATTTCTATTCATACAAATTAGTATCTTATTTGATTTGAATTATAAATATTATGTGATTAAATGATTATTTGAAGAAATTGAATTGAAACAAATATTCAAATTGACAAATTTAAGTCATATGTTAGGTTTAAATTGATTGAAATTGATAGACTTGCCTGAAACAAGCATATAAATAAGAAAGATGCAATATTGTTTCGAATAATACAAGAAATACATTAGTTCCAGCATGGAAAATCCGCATTTGATCGGATTAGAGAGGAAATTAGTCAAAATACATGTAAATTAGTCCGGACACCCCTGATTATTGAACCAAATATATATATATATATATACAAGGGGGTGTCATTAAAATTATCTATCTATATCTATACTACTAATAAAAATATCTTAGCATGAAATTTTTTTTGATTCACTATTATGCCCGTACAAAAAAATATAGAGGCTAACATGTTATTTTGTAGCTAAATATACATATCATTATATCCCCTATATCTATATAATAAATATAATACAATTCAAATCCCGAAAGATAAACAAAATGACTTTAATTTTTCGCGGTTCAGATCGTTTTAAATTTTATATTAAAATTAATCTGACGATTAATATTAACTCCTCAAATTTAATAGGGATAATAGACTCCCTAAAGATGTGTTTGAGGTGATTTTTCAAAAATGGTTCTAATAAGCACTTAAAAAAAATAGTGTTTGGAATGACCTCACCACCCGCCACCACTGCCCCACCATTACCAGCGCACGCCACCATTGCCGTTGTTGCCACCCCACCAACTCCATCGTCGCCACGACCAACGTATCGCCACCCCATCACCGTCGTTGTCACCCTACCACCATCATTGTCACCCCACCAACATCTCTCCCTCCACCACCATCATCGCCACCACCCATTAGTCACCACCACCGTCGTCACCCACTAACAATTGTTATTATTGTCGCCTATCGCCACCATCATCATCTCATTATTATATTTATTACTACTATCACCATTATCTCACCATCACCACCCACCTCCACCCATTACCATAACCCACCACCACCCATTGCCCATCGCCAACCACAACTGTCATCGCTCCACCACCGTCGTCGTCCACTGCCACCACCCACCACTATCCACTATCGTAACTCACCACCATCCGTTGCCCATCATCACCCACCACCGTCATAGCCCCCACCACCACCACTACTAACCACCATCATCGTCGCCCACCACCATTATTATTGTCACCTACGGCTGCCACCACTACTACGTTCGTTGCCACCTACCACAACCATCATCGTTTCTCACCACCACCCACTACCATAAACTCACCACCATCCGTTGCCCACCGTCACTGCCCCACTCCCACCACTACCAACCATTATCGTTGTTGTCCACCACCATCACTATTGCCACCCACAACTGCCACCATCACCGTCTCTCATTACCACCACTGTCGCCCACCATCACTATCACTGCTTGTGCCACACTACAACCAGTGTTTAAATTCTTTTTTATTTCCTCTATCTTTGTAATTTGATTTTAAATGTGAATACAAATATGTTTATTATTGACCATTTTTATTACTCCGTGCCTTCAGGCACGAGAAATAACTAATATTTAAATATAACAAACTAATTTTTAACAAATCATATAAATCTCTCTATCTTTGCAAATTTTTTGAATGGTCATTAGGTCATATTATGCTTAACATGATATATATAAAAAATATTATTCTTTTTTTTTTCCCCAAAACCTCAATAACATTATATGTTGATAATATAGTATCATCTCCAATGTACAAAAGTGGATATATATATATATATATAACTTTTATCTTCATTCACAATCAAAATAGTTTGACAAAAAACTATTGATGCACAAAGTAAAACCAAGAAAGACAAAAAAAAATAAAAAATCTATAATTCTTACTAGCTACTTTATAGCTTGAAAGAAAGAATAACAAAAAATGAATTTATTGGATGTTTATAGTTATGAAAAGAATATATATAATTTAAGTATGATAAATATGATATAATATCTAATTTACCTACACAATTAAATTTTTTTATGTGTTTTATCAAATATTTCAATCAAAAAATTTATGTGCAATGCATATGGTGTATCGTTAGTTTATAATCTACAATCTAATCTAATTTTAATATAAAATAGAGCAGATTATAACAAGTCATTTGACAGACTCAAATATACTCATTTAACAATTTCTAGCATCTCTCAAAATCATTCATATTAGAGATGGATTTACTCTAGAAACATATAAAGAGGGAGGGGAGGTGTTTTAATTCCTATAACATGGAACAAAGGTGACATTGACATAGTAGCGCACGTGAGAGACACAGATCCGAGCTCGACGGGCCGTTTGTCCATTTGTTTTGCACGTGACATCTTCATTTGAATTCGGAACTGAGCGCCTTCTTTTCCAAAACAATTAAATTCGTTAAGATCCTTCGCTTCTCTCTCTTCGTTTCGAAATAGGAAATACTCAAAACCTACCTTTCTCTCTGTTCTTTGGCATCCCTTGAATTGTACTTTCAGTTTACTCTCTCTCCCAACCCTCAAAACCTACCTTCCACTCTCCATTTCCAATCCATGATTCTCAGCTTCAAACCCTAATAGGTTCCTTCTTTTCTCCAAATCAATAATCGGTAAGCATTACACACACATACACACTATCTCCCTAGGTGGAGATGGAAAATTCGGAGAACAAAGACTCGTCGCAGTGTGTTAGAGTTGCGGTCAATATTAGACCGCTGGTCACGTCGGAGCTTCTTGTTGGCTGCACAGATTGTATCACTGTGGTCGCCGGTGAGCCACAGGTATTGTAATCATACTCTGTTCATGCTCAGCAAGTGTGTATCAACAGTGATCTTTTCATAATTTAATTACTAGTTAACTGTATGAGCACTGAAAATAGTTCCTTTTTTCCCTAGTTAACTGTATGAGCACTGAAAATAGTTCAATTTTATATTTTTGAACTTCATAAAGATTATTGCTGCTTTTTGCGATTGGTTCCACATGTTGTATTTCAATCTGTTTACGTTCAGGAAATCTCTCATTAATTAGCTGTTCTTACCTTGGGAATACTACAATGTTTTAGAGTTATAGTCATTCATGAGAGAATTCAAATTAGTATCAAAAGTCAGAGCAACTTATTGATTTTGGTGGTGTTGCTGTGTTCGGTGAACAAACAGGTACAAATTGGATCACATGCCTTCACATATGACAATGTTTTTGGCAGTGCTGGACAGTCTTCTTCGCGGATATTCGATGAGTTTGTTGCTCCGCTTGTAGATGCTCTCTTCCATGGCTACAATGGCACAGTTCTTGCGTATGGCCAGGTATCTCATTTTTATGTTGTTTGGTTTTTGATGGGTTTTCTTAGTACAGAAAAATGTGGATTTCAATTAATTTGCTTCATCCTTGTAACACTGTCAGTCACTATCTGATAAGATGAATTCTACTTGTAAATGTTACACCTGTACCGTTGATTTAATGTAGAAGATCACCTAATTTTGTGTGTTTACTCATTGCCAAAGACGGGGTCAGGGAAAACATACACAATGGGGACTAACTATAACGGGGAAGAGCATAATGGTGGCATCATTCCCAAAGTGATGGAGACTATATTCTCAAGAGTGAATGCAAAGAAAGAATCCACAGAGTTTCTTATTAGAGTATCATTTATTGAGGTATGAAATGTAAACACGGTTCCATGGCCTTTGCCAATATCTTCATTCTTCTTGTTAGACTTGTATATAGGGCTGTTGAGATGTTTGGATGTAATTTATCATTTGACAAGTTTGGATGTAATTTACCATCTCGTAGATATTCAAGGAAGAAGTATTTGATCTATTGGATCCAAAACCACCAGTTATTTCTAAAGGTGATGGGGTGTCTTTGGCAAAGCTTCATGTGCATAGATCTCCTATTCAGATTAGAGAAACTGTGAATGGGGGGATAACACTTGTTGGTGTGACGGAGGTAGAAGTTAGAACAAAAGAAGAAATGGCTTCGTTTCTATTGTGTGGTTCCTTATCACGTGCCACTGGGAGCACAAATATGAACAGTCAATCAAGGTACATACGTACAGACAGTTTTATTACACGATTTTATATTCATTTGCATATCTTTACACTTGGCAAAGTCAAGGCATCATGGTGATTCTATTACCATTATGTACCATATTTTTTTCTCTTTTTCCTGTTAAATAGTTTGCCCTGTTTTAGTTCCTCTGGAAACTAGCATTCACTGGTTTTGACCAAGAAACAATATCATGTGTTGCATTTGCCATTCTTAAACAATGTTCAATCGCGAGTTACTTCATTTATTGCTCTTGGTAAATGGTACCAAAACAATGGTGTGATCTTGCAGGATTCTAGATTTTTTAGGTTGGTAACTTCTTGAATTGTGTTACTCTAGTTTGTGAATTTTCACCACATAGTTGATTATTGATTACAACCAGCAAATGCATTTTCCCATGCGATTAACATGCCTGGAAACAATATGCTTATGGTTTTGTCCTCTAAGCCCATTAAGATGGTGAATCTAATTTAGACCAACACATAAACTAGGCCTTCTAAGCCCATTAAGATTTTGTTCTCTTACTAAAGAATCTTATGAAAAGAATTATTTTCTTTTCAAAAGGTTAGATTTTTACTGTGTCTACTCCAACAAGACTCCCCTTTATATGGGGAGTTGGGGACTAAATTTGGTGTCATCTAAATTGATACCTGCGACCACCTGAGTTATTATGCTTAAGCATAACTTGTGGCATCACATTAGTTTCATGATTTCGTACTGGCCCAAAACTCACAGTCTCTCATGAAGTTGATTTTTTCTAAAACAAGTATCATTGGAGGAATAATGGAGGAATAAGGCATATAAAGGGAAACTGAGGGTCATACATGGATTGGAAAGGACCAAGATCCGTCTATATGCTAAGATGTAAGATGGGATTTCATTTTCCTCTAGATATAAATAATCAAGTATCATTGAAGGCATAAGCGAGGAAGAAGCCATATAGTGGGAAACTGAGAGTCATGCACGGATTGGAAAGGACCAAGATCCATCTATATGCTAAGATGTAAGATGGGATCCCTTTTTTCTTTTTTCTAGGTATAAATAACCACCGAATTATGAGAAACAACCCTCTGTCCATTGCCTAAACTAAAGAATCTACAATTATGATAGTTCTAAGAATATTCTCTTTGTAAATCATCCAACAAATTGCATTAGGATCAAACTTTTGAGTTTTTCTTGATCCGATAAACCCAATTTAAGAAGTCACGAAACCTCGTCGTCATTGTTTTTCCTGTTGGAGACTCAACCAGTATGTGGTCTTTTATAGTAAAATCCCGTCTGCTCCCGATAAAATTGTAGGTTCTAATTTATTATGGTATGCTTTTTGTTCTGGTTGGTGTAGGATATTTATCGTTTGCTTTTGAAAACTCTACAGTTAGGAACTGCTAGTAGAAGTATCCCTAGATTACATTGTTTGAGGAAGGAGAGGAGGCACCATGATAGCAATAGCCAATATAATGCTGAATCTCCCTAGAAGTAATAGGCAGATAGAGAGAGGGGAATAAAACAAAGCAGTAAAAGTCCCCTTTTCCTACCTAACAAAAGGAGGGGGCATAAGGTGTGAAGAGCTTCTGTACAATCATAAGAATCAACAGGGAAGCCAAACCTTTTCTAGTGTGGAGGTGTTTACAGAAGATAAGAAATAGTAAGAAACTCTGTATGTTGTTTTGTACAATGCATACTCACGTCAATAAAATGAGATTTATTGCAATCATTTTTCCTGTTTCAGCTTCCTGCAAAATTCTCCAGTAAATCATTTATGGCTTTTGCTTCTAACTATTTATAGTTGTCTCCTGATCTTGTTTATACTGTCTTGGTAGAAGCTGTATGGATTTCCTGCTTTATGACCTTGCATTTATGCTCTTATGTTTTAGTCGTTCGCATGCCATCTTTACAATATCCATGGAGCAGAAAAGAATTGCTAGTTGCCCACCTGGATCGGTACATGATGATTCTGGTGATGATATTTTGTGTGCAAAACTTCATTTAGTTGACCTGGCTGGTTCTGAGCGGGCGAAACGAACTGGAGCAGATGGGTTGCGCTTACGGGAAGGTAATGATGCTTGTTATGTTTGAAAGTTACAATATAAATTTGTATACCGAGTCTGGAACAATTGGCTTAAGCGATGTTGATTTCAGAAACTTTACTTAAAAGTTCACTCTTGTTGCCTGGACTGTAAAATTTGTTACTTTTGCTGTTATGAGTCCGTTGTCTGTTGCATACTAGATAGCTTGTTTTGAATTTTCCCAGTCCAACCTTTTGTGTTATGGTTTGATGTGGCCTAGGCATTCATATCAATAAGGGACTGTTGGCTCTAGGGAACGTGATTAGTGCATTGGGCGATGAGAAGAAGCGGAAAGAAGGAGGCCATGTACCTTACAGGGATAGCAAGTTAACACGGCTGCTACAGGCAAGGAAGTATTTTGCAATTTTTTAGGGTTAAATACTCAATTGATTTCATCAGTATGTGTTAATCATTGAAGCTTCTGTTTGTCCATTTGAAGTTCCACTCTGGTGAAATGGTTTTGTCTGCATGTTTTTTTTTGGATAAACTGATCCAAAATTTTTTACCTCTCAGTGCTTGAGTTTTTTTTCTTTGTGAAGTGTCAAACATTCATAAGTGACTGTTTTACTTAAAGTTAACAAATTTTTTGCAACATGTTTTTATAGGATTCTCTCGGAGGAAACTGCAAAACAGTTATGATTGGTATGCTGTTATGATATTTTGTTTTCTAATATGCATGTTATGGGGATCTCATATTTTGTTTTTCTAATATTCCTGTTGTTCTTGCTTGGTTTTCTTCTATAAAAATGTAGCTTGTGTAAGTCCCGCAGACACAAATGCAGAGGAGACGTTGAACACTTTGAAGTATGCAAATCGTGCTCGCAACATTCAAAACAAAGCAATTGTAAGTATCATTTTCATGCTCAATTAGTTTGTTTATTAATTTATCTAGCGTGCTCATTCTCAATTTTTGTTCAATTTGTAGATAAACCATGATCCAATGGCGGCTCAAGGGCAAAGGATGCGCAATCAAATTGAACAATTGCAGGCTGAGCTTCTTTACTTTCGCGGAGATTCCAGTGCATCATCTGAGGAACTTCAGGTATAATATGGTTGTATAATATTCCATGGTGTTTGAGTTTCTCATGTCGACTTCATTTTTTGCTTTATAGATTCTCAAGCACAAGATTTCTTTGCTTGAAGCAAGCAATGCAGAGCTACAGCGGGAACTACAAGAACAACGAATCAGTTGTGAGCATGTGATGCGACGCGCTATTGATGCTCAGGTTGGTCATTTAAGTTGCAGTCAACCACGTAATGAGCTTCTTACTTTGTGGTTGGGTATCTCATGAAGTATCTCTTACAAGGAATTAATATTTAGGTTGAAAAAGACAGTCTGATTATGATAATTGAATCAGCTCGAAATGGGAAATCCTGGGATGAGATTGACTCTGAGTCTAAACAGGTTTGCATTAGTAACTTGAAATTTGTTTATATATTGCCATGTGTTAAAAAATCTTGCTGATTTAGACTTCAAATATTTTTTTCAGGATGTTGATTTGGTGAAAAAATATGTGGGCAAAATTCAAGAATTAGAGGTGGAATTGTTGCGCTTACAAAGCTCGAATAGTTCAAGACGAAGTGAATTTGTTGATTACCTTGACTTGGATAATGATGGGCTTCATTCCAAAAATCATTTTTTCACAGTGTCCGACACAAAAACTGCAGATATGAGTGGTAGGTTACTATTGTCTGTTTCGTGGATGCTTTGCATCACAGGCATTGTATGTTTTTGGATGCATTATTGGTTAGGGATTTCATGATTATGATAGAACTTCTTTTAGGAAGCATTTTACATCCATTTACCTTTGGTTGATTTCTTTATAACCTGTTGAACCCACGTTATGAAAAGGAAAGCTTATTGCAAAGTCTTAACTTTCAACCATTTTGTAGGTGCGAATGAGGATGAGGAGCAAGAGCTTGAACATTCTTCTCTTCAAGAAAAATTGGACAGGGAACTTAAAGAATTGGACAAAAAAATTGAACAAAAGGAGGTAACTGTTTGCTCGTAGTGACTGCATATCAAATACTGGCAGCCTGCATTTGTTCAGGCAGCTTTGGCTGTGGAATCTACTTGGACATAGATTTTCATCATTAGATATCTTAGTCTTCTGTTGTTGCTTGCATGTGGAAGATGGGTAATTTCATGTTAGAGAACTCAATTGTGTCTACGCAGATTTGAAAAAGATTGAAAAGGTAGTGTGGGAGAGGGAAAAACTAACATCATCAATGACTGTGCTTTGAGCTTTATTGCCAATCTTTGTTTATTTGGGAGATATATTAGAAGCTCTCTACGGTGGTGCCAATTATAATAATTGCATGTGGTCTGAATTTTCTATTTGTCCATACAAAGTATGGAACAACAAAAATGCATAGTTGACTTGTTATAAAGACAATGTGGTAACTGTGGTGCTTAGTCTGAAGGAAATAGGGTTTAGAGATGGACAGACTGTTTCATATATGCATTGGGGTGGAATGGGTCGATGACTATGCATTCATCTATCTAGAGTTACTTGTTTATGTATTTCTTCACTGTTGAGTCCCCTTGTATTCACTTTGTAGCTTGTTTAGGAACAAAAATGGTAGTTTTCAAGTGACTATAAGTCTGTAACTTTCCTCCTTTTTGGTTGTTTTCTAAAGGCTGAGATGAAACATTTCACAAATGTTGATACCTCTGTTCTTAAACAACATTATGAAAGAAAAGTTCAAGAATTAGAACAAGAAAAGAGATCCCTACAGGTATGGTTCTATTCATGATAGTTTGTGACTTTTTAAGTTCCGTATCTGTACACAATTTCTAAATTCTCTTGTCAATGGGCAGAAAGAGATAGAGGAACTGAGGTTCAACCTCGCAAATATTTCATCTGCTTCTGATGAAGGCGCGGAAAAGCTGAAGGGAGATTATCTTCAAAAGTTGAATGTCCTTGAAGCACAGGTGAATCCCAGTTCACTTTGCTATCTAATCATGATTACCTGCTTTATAACCATATCCTCTTTGCAGGTAACGACATTGAAGAAGAAACAAGATGCACAATCTCAACTATCGAGACAAAAGCAAAAAAGTGAGGAGGCAGCTAAACGACTACAGGATGAGATTCAGAGAATAAAAACACAAAAGGTGGTATTCTATGGCATCTGAAACTTCAGCGGAAATGGCCAAAAAAAAAAAAACTTCCACGCACAACAGTTTTTTACTCAACTCGTACCGTCAATTCAATTGTTTATTATTTAGGTTCAATTACATCAAAAAATAAAGCAAGAGTCTGAGCAGTTCAGATTGTGGAAGACATCACGGGAAAAGGAAGTCCTTCAGGTATATAGTTTACTGTGAATCTAATCCTTTTGTACATGTCCAATCCTCAGCAGTTAGTATAATGTATCAGATGCACAGTTGACCAATTTTGCATCATTATTTGGTGGAGGTTTGAGCTAAACCATGATGCTGCCTTCTTTAGTCAAGTAGCTTTGACTAATTATATTTACTTTCTTTCAATCGAAAACTCTTCTATGCTCTAGCATTTTGTCTTATTCCACTCCTCAATTTTGGTTATTTACTTAGGGTCTGCTTGATAACTAGATTAAGTGCTGAAATTGAAAATATTCAAGCTATTTCAAATAAGTTTGTTTGATAATGAAAAATGGCTACCAAAGAGATTAAATACCCCCTAAGAGCAACTCCAATTGGCTCGGTAAAGGCCCTCTTTTAGCTATTTTGCTGAGCCAATCCAAAAAATCTCTCTCCAACCGGCTCTCTATTCCACTGGCTATTTTGCCTTCCCCCATTCTCACTCCTCACTTCTGGCTAGCAAGGCAGCTCTCTATTTGCTCTTTGCGCCAATTTTGGGGTTGTTCTTCATCAGAGCTCGTCTTCATTGTGGTTTCATCATTGTCTTCATCAGATCTTGTCTTCACCCAATATAGACCTCTCTCTATCTCTTTCTCTCTCTATGTGTGCTTGATTCAACGGTGAGTATTCAGATCCAAATCCTGGAACCCTAACCCTAAATCTTACTACTGCTCATGAATGAGGCTTCAGGGAGATGGGATTTCTTCAAGGGTGGTTGCCCCTCTCTGAGAATGCCAATGCTTTCTCTTTCCTCCAAATCAATAGCCTTTTTTCACTCTGTCTCAGAGTGTTTATATGGTGATGATGACGACGACGATGATCAGACCCGAATATATGAGAGGCTGGGACGATTTGTTTTTTGAGCAAATGAATCGGACACTGAATTAATCTGACCCGTATTTTGGCGGGGGAAACTGGGATGGTATGTGGGAGATTTTCTCTCACATGCAACGGGATTTGCAGCCATGACGTGTGTCACCCATTCTCTTGCCTGATCAAATACAGATCTGAGTCTTGTTCTTTTACTCTTTATTTTCTTGGTCCAATAATTTTTTAAAAGTTTTTTTTAAAAATATTTTTGCATATTTAGTAGAAATTTATGTGCTAAATATCATCATACTTGGTTGGATTCTAAAATTTTTATATTTGCAAAATTTATTGAGGAATTAATTTACACAAGTTTTGATTTTTTGGGTAGGCTTTAGTCGGGTCATGGGTCGAATATTAAATCTTGTAAGAAAAAAACCCAGATTTGATGACGTGGCACGACATGTCATCATTATGGCGCTTACGTGTTACGCCACATGGCATTTTTTGAATTATATTATTGAAAGTTAGTTAAAGTTAGTTACCTAAAATAGAGAGCGTGGTTAGAGTGAATTTTAAAAAGTGGATAGCTAAAGTAGAGAATACAATATTTAAATATATTTTGAGTAACTATTTTATTGAGCGTGGTTGGAGTTGCTCTAACTGGTCGTTATTTATTGAGGAGCTCCATTTGATATGCCAATACTCATTCTTAGTCTATTTGTGGGGTGCTAGGTAGTTGTAGTTTTAAGCTTTCATAGTTAAACATGATGGGAGTAAATTGATAATGTAATTAAACAATAATTTGACTAAATCAAGAAAACAATGCATAAAAATATGAAATAAAGAGATACTCTAGGGGTGGGGTGTAGGAGGTTGTTGTTGGGTTGATGGAGGAGGCAGAGGGGATGGCAGAAGAGGTTTGGTGGTGAACTTAATGGCCGTTGTAGTGGCTACGATGGTGGTGATGACAGGGTATGGGTGTGTTGGTGGCGATAGTGGTGGGGTGGTTGATTTATATACTTGAGGGCCACTCCACTCATTGCCAATTGGTTTTAAGTTGGATCTTGGGTAGTCAGTAGGTCAAGCCTCTTACCCTTTTGAATTTCTTGGTATGCATTGGTTGTTTGTTTGTTAACCCAATGTGTGAGCCCAAGTCCACATGAAGGAGGGTGTTAAAGGAGTTTATATCCTACATCGAATAATTAAGATCACCAAAGTTGATTTATATACTTGAGAGACTACTCTACTCATTGCCAATTGATTTTGGATTGGATGCTCTAACAGTGGTGTCTCGTTTTTGGAATCAGTTTTGATCATTTGCATATTAATTGAGTTTGATCTCTCTCTCTCTCTCTCTCTCTCACACACACACACACACACACAAATTTTACGAATGAGCCCTCACCACCAGCTACCTCTTCTACATTGATTGTCATGACTGAACCTAAAACAGTATGGACAAAAAAATTTTATCTTGTGGTTGACTATATCAGGCAAAAATGAAATGTATGGCATCGAAAGATTCTGAAACTGGCCTCATGTTGTCATTCCATTCCCGAGGTTGATTTAGATTTGTGTATCGACTATGGAATTATTTCGATCTAGCTGATATATGCAATAAGCAATGTGCTGCGGTGTTAATAGTACTTAAAATCTTGGTAGGAGACGGTGAACCTCGAATTCTTTATCCGGATCATCCCATGCTTTAATACATGATCATCCAATGCATTAGTTGATGTTTTCTGACTGCATTTAACTTGTATACTTCCCAAGTTCCGCCAGATTTCTTATATATTCTGTTTTTATTTTTTCATTAAAGGTGCAGTATTTTTGTTTTACTTTAAGTCAGTAATTTACTTTTATTTTGATTTATAGCTAGTTGTTTTACCTTAAGTTTATGTTAGTTTAAGTTTTTTAATCTCTTCCGAACATATCTTCTTTATCAACAGCTAAAGAAAGAAGGAAGGAGGAACGAGTATGAGATGCATAAACTGTTAGCCTTGAACCAGAGGCAAAAGATGGTAAACAAATTTTCAGCTAGATTTCATAAGTTTCCTAGTTTTAAATAATTACACACATCAAGTTCTATATATTTGTGTCAGGTTTTGCAACGAAAAACTGAGGAAGCTTCTATGGCTTCAAAACGACTGAAAGAGCTGTTAGAATCTCGAAAATCTTCATCACGTGAAGCCTCTGGTTGGGATATCCTTTGTTAGTGCTGTTCATGTTTAGTTTGCACATTTGTTATTCAATTGACTTCTCTGTTCCTATGCAGGCACTGGAAATAGCAGTGCTCCTGGAATTCAGGTATCAATGCCTGAACTGAAAGGATTTAGCATGCGTGTGTGTGTTTGTATTCATTAGTACAGAGGTTCGTTTATAAAATGTGGTTTTGGATAACCTTTTGATGGGGATTGAGGATTTGGGATGACAGTGGTGTGTAAATTGATGTTTGTGAATGCTGGCCTGCCAATGTAGATTTTTATTCAATGTTACTCATTCTAACTCAAGATATATTTCTTTTCAATGGTTCTTTTATAAAACTTGTGGTTATGGATATCCTTTTGATGGAGATTGGGAATTTGGGATCCAGATCCAGCGGTGTGTAAATTGATGTTTGTGAATACAGGCCTGCCAGGTAGATTTTTATTGAGTGGTTGCTCATTCTAACTTACTGTATATTTCTATTCAAAAGGCACTGATGCAAGCAATTGAGCACGAGCTTGAAGTTAATGTACGAGTACATGAAGTTCGCTTGGAGTATGAGCGTCAAATGGAAGAGTGAGTGCCATTATCTATTCATTTATTGGAATGACTTCATTTTCTTCTCCATCTTTTAGAGCATTATATAGCTATTGTAGTTTCAAGTCTAGAAGTTGGTTTTATTTGGTTATGTTCATAGTTGTCAAATCGTGTATTGGAAGGCGTATTGTTTTTTAAAAATAGTGTATCGTAAGATACACGTAATTTTAATTTTTAAATAATTATTAATAAAATATATGTATATACATTTATAAAAAAGTCATAGATTCATAATAACATAGTATTTCATTAATATTCCACCAACTATTCAAGTTTCCAACACAGTTCAGTAATATCAAAATGTAAAAACCTTTAATTCAAACTTTTAACATCAACTGCTTGAACAATTTTAATATTAATTAGGAATTTTGAATTTAATTGAACAACATTAACATCAGACTTTATTATTAATTTTTTTTAAATTATAACTACTGAAACGACGTTGTTTTACTAGCTAGTGATTTTAAAATAAGTTTTAGAGTAAAATGATGTCATTTCAACTGCAAAAAATAAAAAATAAAAAATAAAAAAATAGAATCGTCACGTATCATACATATTGACTGTATCGTATCGTGTATCGTACGATACGGTGCAAAAACGATACAGAGACATGATACGTATTGTTTTTCAGGTGTATCGTGACGTATTGCACGATACTAATAACTATGGTTATGTTCACTTTGGTGTTGCTTAAATTGACCCGTGCTACTGTCAGTTTAAGTTTAGCACCAGGGTTGTTAAATTTTTTCCCAACTTACAGTTGAACTGCTCAACACAACTGTGTTGAGTTTTACTGCCTATCTTTTTACTCAGCCGGTCCCAAGCCCAGATAAAAAATGATGAGAGTTGCGTTAGGTAGCTGACAACCAGCATAAAAGTTTGTCAGATTCAATATGAACATGATTCGGACTAGCTCCAGATAGTTGTGGGTACTGTTTTATGGCTGCCCCTCAAACAACATATTACTGTCTTTTTTGAAAAGCACAAAGTTTTAGGAAACCACATTAAATGCTTTTGAAACGATTGATGGATATTGTAATATTCCATTTGTTCCTTCAATTGAGGGCCTTTGTACGTGTCATTTACATGGTAATACAAGGTATAATTGATAATTTAACCGCCACCCTTTTGGATTTTGGTATAATAACTCTGGGACATCTGAAAAAGAAATGTGGACTTTCGTTATGGAATGGAGGAGATTGTTAGGAAATGGTGGGGTGGAAAAGAGCCTTGGGGATTTTTTTTTGGCAGCCAAGTGGGTTAAATTTTGCTCGTTATCTGTTGGAGCTTATCCTCTCTAGGTATAGGAATGTCTATGAGCTTTATGAGTCTTTGCATTCGTTGTCAATTAGTTTTCAGTAAGATGCTCTAGCATTTCTCAAGTCACATAAGTTTCAAGTAAAAAATCTGTTGAATGTGTTGACTAAATTCAGTTTTTGCATTGTTTTATTTGTTTTGAAGGTGTTTAAACTCTAGCATAAATTGTTAATGCTTATGTTGCCTATATTAAAGGTCTTTAAATCGTGCATGACTTATCAAAATATGTCTAGTTGGGTGCCTGATTTGTCATAATCAATGGCTGATACTGAAGAGAATTTTAATGTCTTAAAGAGACGAAATCTCAATTAGCATTTGCTGCTCTTTTCTTATGGAGAAGGTGCAGGATTGAAGTTCTGCTTGGTATATATGTGGAGAGGGGTTGGCAAATTGGAATGACGAAAATTAAAGTACAATAACAGATAAATGGGGGAAAGTTTGTGTGATCTTGTTATCTTCTATTTGTTGTGTAACTTCCAAGGGATAAGGTTTATGACATATTGTCTTTATGATGGCACAAATGCTACAGGTAAAACCTTCATCGCTCTGTCAACTTTCCAATTTTTATTCACCAAGTGAACCAAATTTGAAATGCACACACCAATGTTGTGTTGATCTACTATTGTTTTTGTTCATCAAGTTGATTGAAGGAATATATTTTGGAATTTTAGGAGGGCTACAATGGCAAAGGAGGTTTCAGTGTTGAAGGACGAAGCACAGATTCTAAAGCAAAGAAATTTATGGTCAGAAAAATTGTTGCCAGTTTCTTTTTTCTCTTTTAATCACTCATTGTTTTGCCTTGATGCTTTTTTATGGCTATCATTGTCTTAAGCACTTGTCTTGAATGCATCCTGCAGTGATTGCCCTCAGACAATGTCTCCGGGTGCCAGAAATTCGAGGATTTTTGCACTTGAAAACATGCTTGCTACTTCATCCAGCACTCTTGTTTCTATGGCATCACAGTTGTCAGAAGCAGAAGAGCGCGAACGGGCCTTTAGTGGCAGAGGACGTTGGAACCAAGTTCGCTCTCTGGCTGAAGCTAAAAATATAATGAACTATCTGTTCAACTTAGCATCCTCGTCAAGGTAATTATAACTGTAGGAGTTAAAGATCTGCCAACAAAGGCAAGGCCCACTTCTGTTGTTTAACCCTTTTTTGCATTGCATATTTAATTTTTCACCTAATTCTAAAGATGCCAGCTACGGGATAGCGAGGTTGACTGTCGAGAGAAGGATTCTAAAATAAGAGATCTGAAGGAAAAGGTAGTCAATTTAGTTAGACAATTGGAAATGCAGAAGGCTGAGCTTATTCGTCAGGAGAAGTTGAAGGTTAGTATGTTTTCTGTCATACCATGTTTAGTCTCTCCCTTTTGCAGCAAATAATAATCAACCAACTAAAGTTACTGCTAAGTTTAGTTCATTTATGCCAGGTTGCATCTTGGTGACACTGTTTCAAGTAAACGAAGCCAATGAGTGATTTCTTAATCGCACACTTTATTGTTTCTATCAAGTTGCTTATTTGACTAATATATAAACTTCCAACCGTATGAAACCCTCGTCTTATTTTATGAATGCACTCTTGTAACTTTACTCTTTTATGTCTCCATTCTCTTTTGTCAGATAACAGTAAATTTTGCTACAGTAAATAGGCTTACAGTGTGTGTGAAGGCTGGACAATGAATGCACTCCAGTCTAAGAGAACCAAACCTATACTAAAAAATAACTCAGCCAAGACAAAAATGAAAACATCTCACATGGTATCACTGTTGAAATGTGACATTCTGACAGTTGATTCATTAAAGAAAGTTTTTTTGGCACATAAAAGGTTGTACCTAGTGCATAAGACTTCCATGGGTCTGTGAGAAGCAAGTTTTAGAGAGTAGTACTCTTATTTTGATTTACGGATTTGAATCTGCCGAGTATTGTTTGGGTGGAGAAGCACTTGTCATCGCTCAAGGTCCAAAGTCCTTTATGCACATCTTGTCCATATATATATATATATTACTTGGATTTAAGTTCTTGCACTTAGCAGTGCATAGGTTTTGTACCTTGCATCCCAATATTATGTTCCTTCAATAACAACATTGCAAGTCGTTACTATGCGTGATTCAATATGCATATTAATAAACGACTAGGGGGAGGGGAGTTGAATTTTGTGTATGGATTTATATCTGGTACAAGCAGAATTCATATATTTTCAGGATGTAATATTTATTGATGGGAAGTGCAATGGACGAAGATGAGAATAGAGTGTGCTTTCTTATGAAGAAGGCTTCACATCCCTTCATCTTTCTGTTTATTTCCACAGTAGATTGCATTTCATCACTTTTTTCTTATAGGTTAATTATGCCAAAAATCAGGCAAGTTCTGTCCTGCTATAAATATTTTCTAGCTATGAAACTGTGGTTTGAAATACCACGTTACTTGCCATGTATGTTGATGCACCTATGCCTGCCCTCCCAATTGGGCCTCAATTACTTCAATTCTTCACTTTTCTCATCAGTAACAATTTTCTGCGATAGATTATAAATTACCACATTTGGGGTGTCTAATATTTACATAATCAGATGCCAATCCCGTTATACATTTTAGTATCATTACATAGTGTAAGCTATTCTCTGTTTTTTGGCATCTGCGACAGAAGTTGACTTCAATGAAGCACTCCAAGGAAAAGACGCAAAATTCTGTAGCTTATACAATAAGCAATGAGGAAGGGCATGTGTATGCTCTGCGGCCCAAGGTATATCAGTTTGCTCCTCAATGTACATGTAAAAGTATCAACTTTCAGTTGGTGTACTTTTCTTCTTAATGAACATTAGCGAAAATATGATTGACCTTCATTCAACTTTAGGGGCCCCGGAACTCCATGGTTTACAATGGAGGGACTAGTGTTCTTACACCAGAAGACATGGATACGGCTGAATCAGAGCATTCTGACATGAATGAAACTGATGATGACTGTGACTGGGAACATTCTGATATTGAAGTAGCTGATGATGACAGTGATTGGGTACTTGCACCAAAGGAGAGAAAAAGGCACCAAGCGAAGAAAAAGAATTCCAAGATCGAGAACCATTCAGGTACATTATCCAATCCAGTAAGTGTCAGTGACACCGAAAGTCTAGCAACAGAGACTACAGATGAGGGAAAAGACATTGTTGAAAGGAAAGTCGCATCTGGAATGTGCTGCTCATGCAGCAAACACTCTTCATGCAAGACAAGGAAATGCGAATGTCGAGCTGCAGAGGGCACTTGTGGGATTTCATGTGGCTGTGAACCAACTAAGTGCAGCAATAGAAATGCAGAACTGTCTGAAGGCATTGACAGTGGTTTAGGCACTGATCAAACAGAGAGCAGTCATATTCTTGCTTCTCATGGCGCAATGCTACTTCAGACTGCACTCTCTGAGAAGCCTGCTGAGACAAATGATTTCGGCGGGGCTAGAAGAAAACCATTATCTGACATTGGCAACACACTGGTATGTCTTGGCTCCCACAGTTTTAAGAATTCACTTTTCAAGTTAACAGTTTGCTGTTTATCCTCAAATTTTCACCTTATAAGATAAATGTTAAGAATCCGTTTGTATAGTGGGATAATGGTAGAAAATGCAAGAAAATAAATTTTTTTAAAATTTTCATGTGTTTGGTTAGCAAGAAATGGAAAACAATTGAAAAAATAAATTTCTTTCATGTTTGGATTTTCTCACAACTAATTAATTTTTTTTTCTTGTAAAAAACACAAAGAAATGTCAGAAAATTGTGATTTATAACTAACTTTTTATTTTAACCATATTTTTCTTAAAATATTTTATTGCTTATTAATTTTAAGAATTTTTGTTATGGATTTGGTTAATCATAAAATTTGACCCAAATACCTTTGTGGGCACTTTTTTATTTTTTACCTTTCAATATTTTTTTAGACCGATTTAATATAATTAAGATAATTAGAAAAATTTTCTTGTAACTTTTTTTTTTCAAATAATAGAATGAAAATTTTTAAAAATTTTCTAACAAGTTTTTTATGTAACCAAATACATGCATTAAAATATATTTTCTACCGTTTTCTTTTATTTCACTTCATTTTCTATTATTTTCACTTTCCTTTATTCTTTTCCTCCTAACCAAACAGACTCAAATTTGGCATGTGCAAATTATTTCTCTGTTTTCATGAGCTCTGGCTTTTTATTTCACTTGCAATGCATCAACCTCTACTTGGCTTCATTCTACACTGTTTCTCTCTCCTAGACTGAGATTTTTAACTCCCTCAGGTCAGATCGAATGTGCCAAAGCCTAACCAGAGTAAGAAATGGCGGAAATCAGTAATTCAACTCGTTCCCGTGGCCCCACCTTCCTCCCAAATAGAAAATGCTGAAGATCCAAAGAAACCAGAGAGCAGTACAATTGAAGCCGACATTCCTTTGAAATTACCAAGAGCAATGCGATCTGCATTCTCAAATCACAATCCATTGAACGAGATGAACTCCAACCAGCTCAATGATTCTGTTGTTAATAAGGAGTCTGGAGCTCCAGCTCCCAGAAGTCCTCAGCGACAGGAAAGAACAGCGGATGAGAAAGAAAACCATAACCTTTAAGCTGCTATCGCCTAACCTGCACTGTAGTAGAAGACTCCACCCGAGTCTTTGATGAGTACTAAATCTACCGGACTGTTTTTCTGGTGGATTTCATTGGAAACCTGCATTGTAGTAGAAGACTCCACCCGAGTCTCTGATGAGTACTAAATCTACCAGACTGCTTTTTTTTTTTTTTTTTTTTCTGGGGGATTTCTTTGGAATGTAACACGAAGGGAAGGTATCATTCATGGTAACAATTTATTAACCACTCCATGATTCATGTTTCTCTGAGCATGCGGCAGGCTCGTAGCTCATGACTGTAATTTAATAAAAAGCATCGTCTTTCTGAAGCAGTTAGCTTTACTGCAATTCCATATTACTATGCTCGGTCCCAAATCTGAATGATATCGATTTTTCTGGAATTTTGGAGTGCTCTTTCCTTTATTTTTTTTTTCCTGTATGCCATTGTTAATGGGTTGATCAATGTTTTTTGTTTACAGTGGCATTCCTAGAGTCTCTTTTATTTTTATAGATGTGATGACGAGATTTATGTTGCCAGGATACCCTTTAGGGGCTGTTGGATGATCGTAATACCCTTTGAAATTCAACCTTTAGGTTTTGCTTGTGGAATTGAACAACATAGCATATTTAATTCCATGTTTAATAAGTAACATAAATATACATAAGATTCACGGATTAATTGTGATATTTGCAATAAAATTGCCTAAACCCACCACCCCATGGTTTTGTTGAAACCTTTATCCATGAGTTTAACTTTTGGGCCTATTACGGGTGGGGATTCAAATCCAACACTTGAAATCTGCAACCAAACGATAAATAAAGTGATGTATTGGACTATTTTGACAAAACCCACTTTATGAATCCCACCTAAACAAATGAACCAACACATTCCCTTGAAGATGAGATATAAGTTCTTGGAAGGTAAGATGAGATACAGAGTCATTCAGGTATTTACTTATTCTGTCAATAAGTTACGAAATTATTTCTAATTTAGCAAGCACGAAAAAGGAAAGATTCCAAGCCCAGGATGAATCTAGACGCAGAGTCATGCAACCAAATTGTCTCAACAGAAAGGTATGAATGTTGAGCCTCTACCAAAAAATTCTTCTTTGTGTGGTTGAAGATGAGTCCTTAATGCCATACATGCCATATCTAAGTTTCAAAAAACATTAGCTCAGCTTTGCAAGCATTTTGTCTCGAAGAACCTCCTTTTACGATTCCTTGCTATTTTCTGTCTCTGTTGATATCAAGCTTGGTAATCCAGCAGCTAAGTTGACTAGCAACACATTGTGAACCCGTGGAGCCATATGAGCTGAATTTCTTGATTGAATTTTCTACTCCAAGGAACTCGTATACATCATTTTCAAACACCAAACTTATACTTCTCAAATCATCAATGCTCAGTTCCTGAAGCTGGCAGTTTTTGGAAACACACATGGCAACCGCCCTTCCAACTATATCATGAGATGTTCTGAAAGGTATTCCCTGCAGACAATACATAGCGGAGGGGTTAGTTTCCATGGTCATGAACTCATGAAAAGTAGGGCAAAAGGATCTACTACAGTAATTGGAGCAAACTATTTGTTGGCATAAACTATGGTGAAGTTTTGCATAGCAAAAAACGATTTCTGACAAGAAAGGAACCCAGGAAGCTCCTGCCAAACCTAATCCAAATGATCATGAACGACGAAGGTACTGGACTGCAACTGATGGTGCAGTTCAATTGCATGAAGTGTATGAGAACTCCATGCTTGTTGAAACTGATTATTTGTCATCATCTACATTATTTTGTGGTCTCATCTTACCGTAACTTAATCCCAAGTGGCAGCAACTCAATGTTCAACAAACACAATCTTTTTCCACAGATCATTAGTCTATTAGAGGGAATCCATATATTTTGGGTAAAACTATACTCAAAATCACAAAATTAGAGTGGAAGAGATGTAAGTTCCCCTAAAAGGCAAAGTACTGAAAATTTGAGTGCCATGACTTGCCTTCTTCACAAGATAATCCGCCAATGTTGTGGCATCAAGATGACCAGCAGGTAGAGCTTTGTGTATTTTCTCCTGATTAACGGTAATGTTCTGTGCAAACTCTGCTGAGACTTCTAGCATTCCTATGATTGCTTTTACACTGTCAAATACAGGTTCCTTGTCTTCCTGTCACAAGAAGACAAAAAACCTTGTGTTACCAAATAAAAAATATATGGATTTCTAAACAACTGTTGTAAGAAAGAAACACAGCCCATAGAATTACAGGCATGCATGTACGAAGCATCAAACCACATGAATGACATTACCCACAATGAAAAAACAGAAAGCTACAAATAGTGTAAGAATTAATACGCTCCAAGGGATCCGACTGGTATTCCCACTGCCCACCATGGAAAAAAACTAAAATTGGTCTAATTGTCGTTGTATGAAAATAACTCTACCTGCAAATCACGGTTGTAAGCTTGAGGAAGTCCCTTGCACAATACAAGAAGTGAAACCAAGTCACCTACTACTCTAGCAGATTTTCCACGAACAAGTTCCATTGGATCTGGATTTTTCTTCTGAGGCATGATACTGCTACCAGTTGAAACAGAGTCACTAGGGATGAGAAAGCCAAACTCCTCTGATGCCCACAATACCCATTCTTCACCAAGCCGAGAAAGATGAATGGCTGTGATGGAATTAGCAGAAAGAAACTCCAAAACAAAGTCTCGGTCTGAAACTGCATCAATGCTATTTTGAAGAATGATTTCACTAATAATTTCATAAAGCTAGAAGCAAAGAATAGGAAGAATACAAAGCAAATAAATAAATTATGCAGATACACATTCATGACAAACCACAAGTGGCTGGGCCAATATTGATCCAATGATCAAAAATCAATTTTTTATAGGAAACGGTCCACATAAAAACTTAATGGTAAATAGTTCCATTATCAGATAGTGTATTCTCCATCATCAAGATAAACACTTGTACACAAAATATGTAATGTTTATTCACTAAAAGCATTTCTTTCACTAATTGTGCTCTGTAATGATCATTAGAATGCATCCACACCAGGCTCCTCACGCACCGAAAGAAATTTATAGCTTCCACTCCATACGCAGTTGTCGGTAAGTCCAATAGGGACTTTATGCTACCACATAAATTTAACAGTTGATGTTCAACAGAGTTACAATGGCCATATATGTTCAGCAAATACCTGTTGCTCATGGGAGCAGTGAACCCCAAAGCATTAGATGTCATAAACCTATCAATGGGAAGACCAGTGCCAGCCAACGCACATGCACCTAGGGGGCAGAAATTCATCCTGACTCTGCAATCTAGTAACCGTCCAGCATCACGTTCAAGCTACAAGACAACAGAGCAGTCAGGCTTAACATGATGTAGGCTGAATCAATTCAAACAAAAGGGTAGGCTGAACAAAAAGCATGGCAGCTTCAGCAACTCAAGGATGAAAGGGTAGCCCTTTTTCTCATCAAATCCCAAAATACGATAAATCAAGAAACAGAAGTAGAGTACATGATCTGTTGCCAACTTATGTAAAATGTTGAAATTAATTTCTCAAAACTTCTGCCAAGTATGATAGAACTGTACATAAGGTAGCATGCACAAATTATATCATTAAGTGAATCTAGATCCGATGACCTCTAACAGTAGAAATCAATTGGAAAGCAAAGCGCGACTGATTTCAATAAGGTCAATAAGAAAGTTCAGCAAGCACAGTATGCTAAAATTTCATGAAAAATAAGCCATTGATCAGTGTATATGGTAATTACATCAGGCTAAGGCATTGGAGGAGGTGAATAAACCCATTAAAATGTACTCCAAATTTTATGACCAAAATGAAGTTGATGTTTTATCTAAAGCTGTACTGATCTCTGATTATCAGGCCAGGAATTCCCACATGTAGTTATTACTAAGGGGACATATTTTACACTACATCATTGTAGAAGTTGTTATGAGCAATCCAGTTTGTAAATTTCGTGAGTGCACTGTATAGGTATGTGTCTGTATAAGGTTCAGAAAAATTGATTGTTGATATTGTTGTCACAAGTCTATTTTCCTAGTGTAAAACACAGCAATCCGCAAACATGACCAAAAAGATGGTGCATGCATAAACTAATTCACCTGCTCAACATATGCCAAGAGAAGATGTTGGAGTAGAACAGGTTGCGCCCTTTGTAGATGTGTATAACCAGGAACAATCACCCCATCATTCTTCTGAGCCAAGGTCACCAGTGCGACCTGCAGATCACATAGCATGCATCTTGAGTGAGGAATAAGCCATACAAATACATCTGCCAAAAAAGGAAAGTGTGATCATAAATAATATGGGCTGTATAATGATTAGTCATATATGTAGAACGCAACACGACAAAGTTAGGAAGATGTACCTTTTGTTTCACGGCACCATAAAATATTGCTCCTACACACATGTATGCAGTGTTTCATTGGACAATGATGCTTGCAAAAAAATTAGACAGAACTTTTGTATGCATATTAGCTTGTCAGATAAATATTATGGAAGTACGAGGCATAAAGCTCAACAGCTATTCAGTCATCCTTCCAGTTCAGAAAAAAGTGATTCTTAACGAGTGTTTGGTATGCATATTTACAGATTTTCCCTTCTTCCATGCTTGGATAAATTTTTGTGCTAAATGACACGCTCAGATGCACAAATAGGGACACTGAACCAAATAACTCATGAAGTTGTCCTGCAATGAACTTAAATAATTACAGAACCCCTCCAACTACTCAGAAGCAAAATAAATATAGACAACCTGAAGATGCCTAATACGCCCAACAATTGTATCAATAGCATCGCGACACCAGAGACGAAAATCAGTACAAACTTGATCATTTCGACTTCTTGCCGTATGTAGCTTTTTTGCAGGTTCACCAACCATATCAGTTAGAGCTGCTTCGATGTTCATGTGCACATCCTCTCTGTCAGTCCTCCATATAAACTTACCGGCTTCAATTTGTCTTTCTATCTCATCAAGACCTTCCAGAATACTATCCCTATCGCTGTCACTCATCAATCCCTAAAAGAACACCAAGAAATCAGCAAAGATGCACAAATTTCAGTACCATGAGTGGCTTTGATTTATGGGTGGAAGAGAAAATAGTCAAAAAAAATCATGCCAATGCTATTTCTGGTGTGTCTTGAGTAAAATGCAGCAAAGGAACACAAAACTGGAACGTTATATCAAAGAATAGTTCATTATCTGGGATGATACAAGAAAACAATAACCCCATTTGACTACTGAGAAATGCAGGACACTGAAGCTGCATTTGGCAACATGAAATTGAAGGTTTGGAATTGCCGTCCAAATTCAAACTATTTTTCACCAGTAGAAATACTAAAGCTCCAAATAAGACCCCGTATAAAAGAAAAAAGCAAAACTTTCACTTTACAAAGCTCCTTAACTATATCTTAAACCCAATTTAAGATAACAAACTACGATCTATAGTCCTCCTCCACCAGCATTTAAGCTAATTGATTCTCCCCCAAAAAAAAATGCAACAAATTCCACTTTCTTCCTCCTTTTCACTTACTTTCTCAGGGACCAAACACAGAAACATAAAAAAACCGAATTCAGAATCCCAAAAAAAATAACCTGGCGAGCGAGCATTGAGGCATGAGCACGGCTCCCCATGATATCATGCTTGTAAAGGGCCTTATCGAAAGAGATCGATTCGGTGAACTTCTCCACTGCATCGGTCACACTCTCTTCGAACCTCCCTCCCCATAGCTTAGCCTCTTTGTTCATTTGGACTGCGCGCGAGACCAGTTGTTGTGTGGTTTGCTTGTTAATGGAAGACAGAGAGAGAAATTGAGGCCTGAAAAATGAATTGTGTTTGGTGAGGAAAGAGAAGAGTGAGGCAGCTGAAGAGGAAGGAGACAAAGTCGAAGCCAACACAGAGTCCATTACACGACGGCGAAGGAGAAGTGTTATAGCAGTTCAACGAGTTTGTCGCGGCTATGGCTTGTGGGTTTAGAGTTAGGAGAGGGAGGGGTTTGTGAATGGGTGGTCCGGAATATTTTGTCGGGACTTGGCCCGAATTGTTCAACCCGAACTTGGGTATTTTCAAACTAGGTTTGAATGGGTATTAATTAAAGTCAGATTATTTCGAACTCTATAGATTTACACTGGACTTGAAGTACACCGTCAATCATGTGGAGTGAAGTGGGTTGGTGTTAGAGGTAACAATCTTACCTTATTATTCATTAATTTACTTAATCTTTTTATAAATAAATTGATTGAATACCTATATTAATTAATATAAATTTTAAATGGATTAGATAATATGTTTCATTTTAATTAAATAAATTAATATGGATTATAAATGGATACTTATTAGGTTGAATATTTATTTTTTTATTAAATTACACAAATAATAAAATTAAATAAATATATTAATATACCAAAAAAAAACACATACTATTACACCAAAAAAATATATACATATACACTAATACACCCATGACCTATGGGTTGACCCATAACTCCATGGACCAACCCATGACCCACGTATCAACCCATAGTTCACAATCGACACCGACCCATTATGTGTGTATTTTTTTTTATTAAATGTGTTTTAGTTTTAGTTTTAGTTTTTGTGTTAGTATATATGTATGTATTTTTTATGTATTAGTGTGTATTTTAGTATATTAATGTGTATTAGTTTTTGTATTAACGTTACTTCAAATTTGAAGAATTGCAAAGAAGGATTGATTGCTTGGAGCAGACTTAAATTTGGAAATAATAGAAAACTCATCAGGGATTTGGAGAAGAAACTTCGTTATGTTCAAACTCTTGACCCTTCTGAGGAGAATCTTCTTTGGGAGACTGAAGTTAGTTCACAGCTTGATGCATATAGAGGTAGGGAGGAACAATACTGGATGCAACGATCCAAGGTTAAATGGCTAAAGAGTGGTGACCAGAATACAAGATTTTTTTCATGTTTCTACTATTCAAAGGCGAAATCGCAATCGTATTGTCAGATTGAAGGATTATGCAGATGAATGAATTGAGGGGGAGAAGGATATCTCTGATCATATCAAGTCCTACTTCCAGGAGCTTTTTACAACGGTTGGAGATAGGGGATTGGGGGGATGCTTTGTCTGCTGTTAAAGCTACGATTATTGCTGATATGAATCTCCAACTTCTTCGTGATGTCTCTGCTTCAGAGGTTTGGGGTGCTGTTTCTGAATTAGGAGCTCTCAAAGCTCCTGGTCCTGATGGTTTCCCTGGGCTTTTCTTCCACCATTTTTGGCACATCGTTGGGAATGATATTTTTCTGATGGTCAAGAATTTTTTTGAGAGGGGCTGCCTTCTTGAGGCGCTTAATCTTACCAACATTGTTCTTATCTCGAAAGAGGAGGCTTCTGAATCTATCTCTCAATTTCGTCCTATTGTTTTGTGTAACTTTGCTTATAAGGTGCTCTCTAAGGTCATGGCGAATAGGATGAAGGGCCTCTTATGCTCTATCATCTCTCTTAATCAAGCTGCTTTCATTTCTCATCAACAAATTTAGGACTGCATTTTCATGGCCAATGAGGTGTTTCATCATCTTAGGGGGAAGAAGAGGGGCCTGGTTCCGGAGATGGCAATTAAGTTGGATATAAGCAAGGCTTATGATAGGTTAGAGTGGGATTTTTTGAAAACTACTATGCTGACTATGGGTTTTGACAGTTGCTGGGTGCATCTCATCATGCGGTGTGTGTCTATTGTGTCTTATCAGGTGTTGCTCAATGGGGTGTATTAGATGTGATGTGTTGTCTCAACGGGGCTTAAGGCAGGGAGATCTGTTATCTCCTTATCTTTTTCTCTTTGTTGCTGATGTCCGGTCTTCTATGATTATCAGAGGGGTGGAATGTAAACGTATTGTGGGAATTAGAATCAAAAGGAGAAGCCCAATATTATCCCATCTTTTCTTTGCTGATGATTCCCTTTTCTTTCTTAAAGGGAAGACTTCTTATGTGCGTGATTTTATAGGGATCTTGCAATGTTTTTGCTTTGCTTTGACCAAAGTGTCAATCTCCAAAAGTTAGGTATTATTTTTTCTGAGAATTCCTCCCCTAATCAGATTTCCTTTTTTTGTCACCTCTTAGGACTGCAACCCTTCCTTCATCAAGTTAACTATTTGGGAATTCATTCTATGTGGGGTCAATCTAGGGGTGAGGTGTTCGATTTTTTGTTGGAAAGAGTTGCTAAGAAGCTTCAAGGATGGCGTGGTGCCTGTCTTTCCCAAGCTGGTAAGGAGGTCCTGGTCAAGGCGGTGATTCAAAGTGATTCCTAACTACGCCATGTTTGTGATGGCCTTTCTCTCTAGTTTCTATGTAAGGTTGGATAGATATGTTAGGCTTTTCTAGTGGAGGGGAACGAAAGAGGGTACAGGTATTTGTCGAAAAAAATGGACGAGGATGACTGAATCAAAAGCATCAGGAGACATGGGTTTCAAGAATTTCAAATTATTCAATCAAGCCCTTCTGGTCAAACAATGCTAGAGGCTTTTATCTCATCCTGATTCCTTTTGGGCTAAGTTTACTAAAGCGATTTATTTCCCTAATGAGGATTTGATGTCTGCAAGGATAGGTAATAGGCCTTCTTGGCCTTGGAGTAATCTTCTGACTGGAAGGGAGTTGCTTGCTTTGGAACTTATGTGGCAGATTGGGAATAGGAGAGATGTAAATTTTTGGAGTGATAAATGGATTCCCCTTTCCCCTTCCCGTTCTGTCCTTTCTTCTAAACCTCCGGACGGTCAGTTTTCCAAAGTGGCTGATTTCATCAAGACGAACCCCATTGGTTGGGATAATCCCAGGCTTTCCTCTTTGGTTTCGGTGGAGGAAGTTAAGTTCATTAAAGCTATTCCTTTATCGTTTTCCAGTGGAATTGATAGGCGTTTTTGGTGGCCTGAACGTAAAGGGATTTACTCTGTGAAGTATGGGTATAGGATTGGCTCCATGCAGCTGAGCTCTCCATCCGAATGTAGTCCGTTTGATTCCCCTTCTTCTGGTCTGTGGAAGGCTATTTGGAACATGTCAACCTTGCCTAAAGTCAATCATTTTTGGTGGAGGGCTTGTTACAACATCTTGGCCTCTCATGAGAACCGTTTTAAACGAAGGTGTGTCTCTTTTCTCTACTGTCCTATATGTAACCAGTGCATAGAATCCATTGAGCATATCCTTTTTGAATGTGAATGGACAAAACGTGTTTGGTTTGGTATAAATTTGGTTGTTGAATGGGAGGACTTTTTCTTTTTATATGTGGCATAAAGGTCCTCGTGGATTTTGGAACAAGTTGAGACTGCTAAGGCACGTTTGGAGGCTTTAGGCAAGTTTGCCACTGTGGGTTGGGTTTTATAGAAAGCCAGGAATCAGAAGGTTTTTTTTGTGATGAAGAGGTTAATGTTGCTGCGGCTGTCATTCGTGCTCAAAGCCTTTGGTGTGACCTGCTCAACATTTCGTCTTGTTCTCCACCCAGTCATCCTCCTTCTGCGTTAGTGATGTCTTCCCCTTCCCTGGGTTCTGACTCTCTTCTTTGCTGTGATGGGTCCTTCGATCCTTCTTCTGATGTGGATCGATGCTGATTAAAGAGGATGGATGTTTTGTTTTTGGAGCAACCAAGTCTTTTCCTGTTGTTTCCCTTCTGGTGGCTAAAGCTGAGGCAGTACGCCATGCCTGTCAAGTTGCTGCTGCTCTTTTGCTTTCTAATGTCACCATTATGAATGATTGTCTTTCCTTAATTAAGTTAAGCTTTACTGAGGATGTTCCCTCGTGGAAAATTAAGGTTATTATTGATGATATTAGATCTTTGGCTAGGTTACACAACCTAAGCTTTTTACATAAGTCTCGAGTTTGTAATAGGGTTGCTCATTGGGTGGCAGTTGCTAAACTAACAAATTCCCTTCAATTGGATTGGTTAGGCTCCCCCCTTCCTGAGCTTAAGGCTTCCATTTTATCCGATTGTAATCAAAACCTGCCTACTTAATATTATATGATGATTGTCTGTTTATTGATCAAAAAAAATGTGTATATTTTTAGTCTATTAGATTATGTATGTTTTGGTGTATTAGTGTTTATGTGTATGTTTGTTTTTTAGTGTACTACTAATGTGTGTATGTGTGTTTTGATGTACTAATGTGTCTATTAAGAATTTTAATTATTTGGTTAGTCAGTTTAACCTAACCAGTTATAAATCCAATATATTATAACTCATTGACTACGTAAGTGAAAAATAAATTGGATTTATTTTAATTCAATCCAATTTAATCCAACTCACCCATTTGCCACATCTAGTTGGTGTTAAAAAATATTTCATTTTAAAATTTTATTTTGTACCTTTAATTTTATAAATTAGTAATAATGTAGACTTGACTTGAACTGCAGTTCATTTTTTTGTTATAAGTTAAAAAACGTGAGTTATAAGTGTTTTGTTAGTTTTGCAGAGTGGATAATTAACAAAAATAATACTTGTTGGAAGATAGAAAAATAATAAAAATATGACACAAAGATAAAATATAGTTCGATACAGCATTCCTACTTTGGTACACTATACCTACATCTACGGACCAAGAAGCTACTTCGAACCTTATTCACTGAAAAATGATCATCTGTTAACTGATTATATAATACTGAACCCTATTTATGGAGATAAAATAATGTAACTCAAACTTATTTAGATAGAACTTGATCTTTCTGTTTCTTATCACGTTTCTAATATACATATTCATGGTATATTAAAACTCTTCCAGTATAATCCTATTCCATATAGGATTTTCACATTTATTACTTAACAAACTCTCATTCATGACACTTAGAGAGTTTGAGTCAAATTCTAACATGTTTTGTACATGAGTTTATATGTAAATTCATAAACTGTTGACGTCTTATGTGAGTTGTATGTGATAGAATCCGCCTTTGTCTGATTAATGAAATTCTATTTTTAATACACAAAACGGTGTCAACATGATCCCAAACAAAGAACTACATCGATGGACATACCTCATCTGCATGCTCGAAGCACTTGTAACTCATATGCTTCAATTTATAACAGAAAACTCAACAATAGTCTAAGCCAAGTCCACGTTAGGTAAAAAAGTGTAAGATGTGCCCAAAGAAATGAGTTCAATAGACTTATCCAAAAAAGATGAGCCCAATGGGTTGACAAGATGAGTGAGATACTTTGCAAGTTGAGGTTAATCTCTCTCGGATAACAAAAATATGGGATTAGTTGACGCTTCAAGAAATGTGAATAGGATGATGTTTTTACGTTGGATCTCGTCCCTAAACCAATATACAAAAGAAACGTCACCAACGTAATGAAGTGCATCGATATAGAAATCAAATGTTCAAACAAAAAACCACCTCACATTCCACACCTTCTGCTCACACATATAAATAGATCCTGACGGGCCCAACTCATACCAGGCCCAGTCCAGAATTACAAACTAGACTACGTTTAGAGGTCCCGTTCAGAAATATAGACTAGGCCCAAAATCGCAAACCAGGCCCAACTCAAACATATGGGCCAGAAGTTAGGTCAAGTTAGCTGCGCCATCTTAAGGAAGTTAGGTCAGTCGCGCCATCATGAAAGACTCAATCCACAATTGACATGCAAAGAGATCACCTTGAAGCACGTATGTCACCACCTCTACGGAATTGTCTCGCTTGATATGAGAAGCGCGCTACCTTTACTTAACTACCTCACCTAATACGAGAAAGGTGCCTCAATCTGTTATGAGACGTCTATAAATTATAAGCTCCACATACACAAGGGGGGACATCACACGCATATCACTTATATTTGAATACCTTATACTCCTTAAAGCAATAAAATACTCAGGTCATCCTAACCATGTACAGTAGAGTAAATCACCATGAATGAATTATTTAAATTATGTATTGCTTGTATTGACTCTTATAATTTATTACTACATTAAATACTTGACAGGTGGTGCATAAACACGTTTTGTGCATCATCAGTTTGACGTCATCTGTGCGAACGAATTAGTTTTCACCTTATTGTCTCTCTATTTTCACCCTACTGTCTTTCCATTTTTTTCCTACTTTCTTTCCATTTTATTACTATTACAATTAGATCTATGAGTCAACAAAGGAAAGATGATGATCAACCACGCCACGGTGAGGTCCCCCCCTCTCGACAAACCTTGTCAATGAACCACAATTATTGGAGAATATGTACTTGATGCTAAACCAAAACCAACAAATCATCTAATTGCTGCTCACTAGGGAGTCGTGCCACAACACTCAAAAGGGCTAGCATCCCCAATGCCTCGTCCAACGCGTGCCCAAGGATGCTAGCACACGTGCTCACGTTGGTGCCACGCCTGCCAAGGGCACCTATGCACGTGTTCACGTCGGCGCCATGCTTGCCAAAGGCGCCCCACACCTCGCCTGTTAAGGACGTTTGGGCCCATGCTCACCATCGAACCTCATCTACCAAGGGTGCTCACGCACAGTGCCTCGTACCTTGCTTGCCAAGGAAGCCCCATGCTCATTTTAGCGTCTCGCCTCCCAAGGGTGCTTGTTTCGTGCTCCCCATACCTTGCATGCTAAGGGCGCCCCACACCTCGCCTGCCAAGGGCAACCGGGGCCGTTCTCACCTCGGCCCGTCACTTGTCAAGGGCGCCTGGGCCCAGCGCCCCGCACCTCACCTCCCAATGGGGCCCGCTCAGTGCTACCCACACCTTGCCTACGAAGGGCATCCGTGCTCATGCTCACCTCAGTGCCTCGCCTGCCTCCTCTCCCGCCTTGTTGCTTGTCTCATCTTCTGCCTTAACGTTTGCCTCGCTAGTCTGGGTGTGCCATCAGCCTTGACGTCGCCTGCTACATCGCGTCGGTCCAGTAGCACCCCTGATGCCCAAACACCCTCCAAGGCGCCCTCGCCTCATGCATCATCTCTTCCTGCACCGGATTCCCATGCTCAGCTGGCTCTATCCCACTGGTGCCCTCTGGTTACCTTCATTGTCATTTCTCCCCTTCTCTCCATCTCTTGAGAGAGAGCCTCTTGCAAGTCTCCAAAAGCCTAGCATAACTCTTCTTCAGCTCTCACGCAAACAACCTCAATCTCCAACTTAAGTGACTTTCTCGTGAGTCACTGAAAACTTGGCCTAACTTTGTCTTTGCTCTCATGCAAGGAGTCTTAGTCTTCACCTTAAACGGCTCTCAAGCGAGTCACCAAAATCTCGGTCAAACTCTATCTTTATTCTTATGCAAGCAACCTCAGTCTTTAGTGTAACGGCTCTTTTACGAGTCACCAAAAGATTGGTCTAATTCTGCCTCTGCTCTTAGGTAAGCAGCCTTAATCTCCAGTTTAGCGGATCTCTCATGAGTCACTAGAAAGCTTGGTCTCACTCTGCCTCTACTCTCACGCAAGTAACCTTAGTCTCCAGTTTTGCAGCTCTCTTATGAGTCGCCATAAGCTCGGCCTAAATCTGCGTCTACTCTCACGCAAGAAGTTTCAGTCTCAAGCTTAGTGCTCTCTCGCAAGTCTCTAGAAACTTGGCCTTACTTTGTCTTTGCTCTCATGCAAGCAGCCTCAATCTCCAACTTAGTGGCTCTCTCACAAGTTGCCAGAAACTTGTCCTCACTCTACATTTGTTCTCACTCAAGAAGCATTGGTCTTCAACTTTGCGGTTCTCTTATGAATCGCTAGAAGCTAGGTCTAATTCTGCCTCTATTCTTACGCAAGTAGCCTTAGTCTCCAAAAACTCGGCCTCAGGAAGTGCAGCTCTCTCGTGAGCCACCCACAACTCCTCCTTTACAGCCCACTATGTCTACCTCTCCCTCATCAGAGTTCAACTACTAAAAGAGGACAAAGACAAGATTTCTTACTAATGCCCTCTCCCCCAAAATCCCATTGGGCTCGGGGCATGGGGGCAAATGATGGGCCCGGCCTAAACTAGGCCCAATCTAGAATCACAAAATAGTCCCAGCTTGGAGGCCTAGTGCAAAAATATAGACCAAGCTCATAATCGCAGACCAGACCCACCTCAAACATACGGGTCAAGCCCACCACAGGATGGAGGAAGTTAGGTTAGATTAGCCGCACCATCTTGAGGAAGTTAGGTCAGTTGGGCTATCATGAAAAACCCAGTTTACAACTGACATGAAAAGAGATCACATTGGGACGCATACGTCACCACCTTCACAGAGAAGGGTGTCACCTCCCCCTAATTACCTCACCTGATACGAGAAAGGCACCTTAATCTGTTAGGAGACGCCTATAAATTGTAAGACTCATCTATATAAGGGTGACATCACACACATATCACTCACACTTGAGCGCTCTACACTCCTTGAAGCAATAAAACACTCAAGTCATCCTATCCCTTCATAATGGAGTAAGTCAGGATGGAGTAGGACATTCTGACCGAACTACTTAAATTGTGTTTTGTTTGTGTTGACTCTTATCATTTATTATTGTATTAAATACTTGATAGGTGGTGCATAAACATGTTTTGTCGCCCACCACCACCACCTACCACCATCGTCATCTTATTCTTATATTTATTACCACTACCACCATCATCCCACCACCATCGTCAGCACCTGTCACCACCATTGTTGTCCACCACCACCCACTACCATAATCCACCACCACCTATCGTCGCTCATCATCGTCGTCAGTTACTGTCACCAACCCTAATAACACCTACTACCACCATTATCCTTCATCGTCCACCACTGTTGCCACCCACTATCACCCACCCCCACCACACCACTTACCACTACCATCACTGCCATTTGTTACCACCTATCATATTGTTGCCCAAAAGTGCTCATCGTAGCCTACCACCACCATCGTCACTGCTCATCACCACAACCCACAACCATTGCTATCATTGTCATTGCTCCACCACCACCACCATTGTCACCCATAGTTGTTACTACTACCATCGTCATCCAAAACTCACCACCACCATCACCATTACCCCTTACGGCTGTCATCACCCCACCATCTCCCACCACAATTACTGCCGCCCACCACCACCACTCACCCTCACTATAACTGATACTTAAATTTCTTTTTTCTCCTCTATGTTTGTGATTTAATTTTGAGTATTAATACAAATATATTTATTATTGATTATTTTTTTTATTATTCCATGTCTTCAAACATAGAAAATAACTAATATATTAATATTCAATCTAATTATGATTTGATTCAAATTATATTTATAGATTGGAAAAGATATAATGAAATAGAGTTAGAATATGCTCCTATCTCTAGTAGTACAAAAAATGAATGTTACGTAGTCAAAAAAGATTATTAAAAAACTTATACTTGGAGGAGGTAACCAACGTGGTGGGAGTGGTTATTAGATTATTTTAAAAAATTAAATTTAGAATAGTGAGCAAAAATAGTTTTGATTGTTACATATACATGTGATTGTTATGATTCGGGCCGTTACTATGATACAAAATTAGAGAATTTAAATTTTTTTTAAATCAACTATTTTGTAAATGAGTATGATTCGACTCATTTATATATCAGTTATGCACAATTTATATATGACAAGAACTAATATATATGATTCGTTAGACACGAATTAATAAAAAAAATTAAATATAAAATAAATTATTTTTTGACATGAATCCCCTAAGACTCAACACGATTGTCAAGCTTATATACATAGTATATTGAATAATTGAATTGAAGGAACCTAATTCTTTTTGACTGAATATTTAAAAAATGAGAATTAGAAAAAGGAAAAGGAAAAACTTGTTATTTGTAATTAAAAAAAATAATTATTCAATTAATGTAATTAAAGTATTTATATTATGATCAAAATATAAATTATAAGAAACTCGTAGGCGTTATTTGTACCACATAAACATACAAATGGTTAGTCAATTTGTCACTTTAGTCTTTATTATATTAATTTTGATAATTTAATTTATAAAGTATTTAATTTGTGTTTGACTAATTTTTATTAAAATAATTGATTAAATTTTTTACAGAATTGACTATATATCATTCTTTTACACAATATCACATGATTAATATGTGAAAAATTTCGTCAAAAATTTAACAATCAATTTAAATAAGAATTATTTAAACCCGAATTATACACTTTAGTGACTAAATTAATAAAATTAATTTAATAAAGATAAAACATGACCAAAAATATTATTTACCATTTTTCTTATTAGTCTCTATCCTCTCCAATCATATGCATAATGCATACAATCAACAGATTGTACTTATTTGACAAAATTGTATTCAAAGTCAACATTCCTTCCTGTACAAGAATTAAAAAACAAGGATTCTGTAGCTTTTCGTGCACCCAAATGCAGAGGATAGTAACTACTTAAATGTTCCCAATTGGAACTGTATTTTTTATTTGAATTTAATCTCCTGCTGTTGAATAATTGGACGGAGGAGGAGAGCTATAGAGATAGATAGATAGATACACTAGAAGGAGAAAGGATCACACAGCTTTCAAGGTACCAGAAACTCTCTCTCTCTCTCTCTCTCCCCCATTTCTCTGATTGAAACGAAAGCCCAAACTGTGGTTTGAATTATATATATATATATATATATGAATTGCTTTGAATCTGCGGTTAATATTCCAAGTTTGAAAGAGAAGGCAAGAATTTGAGTTCATTTTGCTATGCATACCTCAACCAATCTTCTTTGCCGGAATACTCAGTGGTCCTGAGAAATTGTCGAGATTCTAACTCACGATATTTACTGGAGCATAGACCATTCAAATGTGGCTGTGGCTTTTTCCTGAGGAAAATTCCATCATGTATATACATTGAAACCAAGTTGGCATAGCTCAGGTCTTGGATTCGTTTGTTAACAGCTTTGGTGGATTGTAAATTCAACTTCAACTGTTCAATTTCTGGTCCACTAATTCTGTACAATTTTAGATTTTCTTGTAATTTTTTTTTATTATTTTTTTCCAACTTTGTAAAGTCATCTGTGTTAAAATTAGATCTATATTTGTTAAATGTGTTGGAAAAATAGTGAAAACCAGCTACCATTTATGGTTGAAATATGAATTCTTTTGTTTTGACCCAAATTTTAGATTCTTCTTGGCTGTCAAATATGTTTTTTTTTTCCTCTCATACTAAATATGGCGCGCCACGTTTGGTTTCTGAGAGAATTTAGGAGAAATAAAGGTCCATTCTCATGCTTTATGTTATGAACCCAACCGTTGATCTAAAAGTTCACCATTTGTGGGGGTTAGAGCTCATAACTATTTGAATGTAACATTCTATCACATCTAGGGCGGACGTCCACGATGGCCCACTCTATCGTCACTAGCACTATACCCATATATAATAGTAATATTAAGTCATTTTAATCCAGACTATAAGTTTCCCTTTCCTTTACTCGAACTCATGACATTGTGCCTACTCTGAAGTCAAGACTTTTAAGGAATTAGAACTCATAAATATTTGAACGAAACACTCTATTAGTATGTTTGGATAGACTTTGGGTGAAGGATTGGACTGGTCCCTTATACTTGAGTTTGATGAAGCCCACCCCTCTGGTTTTGATGAAGCCTTTATACATGGGTTTGAGGGAGTGTTTAAATCCCGGGTCTGAGAAGGACATCCAAAGATGGACTATGACAATAGATTAGACTATTTTTTTAAACCCCGACACGCGCAAACCCTTTGTAACAAACAAGCCCTGTGTACATTGTATTAGACTCTGATATGCTTTCTCCCCCCCCCCCCCCCCCC